TGATTGGGTTGCACACAAAATCGGCACAAGACAGAAAGTACCATAAGCACATGCCAGGCTAAAAGTGAAGTGAGCGCAAATGGGCCAAGCCAGAACCTTTTTGCTACCTCAGTCGAAATCTATGCTGAAGTATATAGTTGCGTAAATATTCAGGAAGGCACACATTGACGGAAATGTGTTGTCTGGACGGCGCTGTACCCGGCAGTAGGCCCTTGTGGTGTGGCTTGGATGAATGCGAAGGTCCAGAGGATACCTTCAATTCTGTCCTTTCCCTTTTCTTGGAAATGGCAAAGACGAGTTTTCTATTGATAGTGGCTGGTGTAATTCGTTCTCTGAACCAGTAGTGTACATTATTATGTTTTGCTGTTGATGCTTTAATTTCAGATGAGAATGTGAGCGGTGAAGTGATTCGTAGGCCGATCTCACTAGTGGACTACCGTTGATAACCTTATTTTGAAGCCTTGTTTAGCTGTAATACGACACTCAGGTTGAGGCAGTACGCGGTATTGGGTCAGCTTTAAGCGGCTGTCATTTGGGGTATGGATACTGCCTGAGTCATATATACTCTCAACAAAAAAATAGAATACCTAGAAGAATTAATGCTTTTTACACATCCAAGGCACGGGTAAGTTAGAGTACGTAATAAGATCTGTGTTTGCCCTATTTCGGTTAAGGGGATGAAGGACTGGCAATATACTTTTCTAATTGTTAAGCTTACTTCAATTTCGAGTGAACGTGTCTGGTGAATAGATTCGAAGATGACGGCGGATTCCTCTTGACCAGCTGTCGATTGGCTTTACTGGAACATTCATGCTGACGCTGTTCAATCTCCTTCGGTTCTGGCGAAAAGTGCTAAGGTTTCGTCCGTCACATGAGAAAAATCGTCAGAACAAGGTATCATCGTCACAACCAAATTTAAGCTTACGATACAAGAAAACTCACCTGCAAATCCCTAAAAATCGGCATATATACTCTATATCAAGCCTCTTTGATAAGGTATAAAGAGATTTGGTTAATTATGGTCACATGTCAAATTCGAAGCCTCGGAGTGTGTCTGTCTCTGTATGTTTATGTGCCTATTTGTGTTCGAAATACACGAAATCCGCAGTGATGGCTCAAGGTAATCAGGGCAGCAAAAATAACGTCTGTTTTCGGCCATCAAGGTTTTATTATCCCTATCTCCCTCTTTCTACATACATGTCATAACTATCACTCCGATTGCGCAAGGTCGGACACAC